TTTTTGAGGTCTGGCTATGTATTCCAGACTGGCCTTGAACTCACAGCAATCTTCTTGCTTTAGCCTCCTCAGCACTGGGATTACATGTGTATGCCACCACATGGAGCTCCTAAACTACTTGTGTGAAAAACCAAAGGACTGTTCATAGGTACTTTGAGGTAATTAAAAAAAAGACACTTGTGCTAATGTGAGCACCTTCCAACATTCTCAAAAAATCACTCCAGCTAAACGCTGCGGCCTGTGGCCTGAGACTGAGCACAGATGATCACCTGTAGGCCTGCAGCACGCGTGCCTGCCACAGCAGGGAGGCAGTGAGAATCACGGGCTCAGCTGTAGTCATGTGACTCTTAATGTTGGGTACCACTTGTATTGCAAAATGTCATTTATCAAGTTAAAGTTTGTTAAAAATGTGTCTTGGGAAACACTCGCAAAACGAGCTACTCCACAATCCAAGTTTTTACTGTACCTAGGATCACAGACGTGCACGACCACATGGCCTAGCTAGGATTCTGAAGGCAGCTGGAACTCTGTAACATCTGCCTTCCCTGAAGCTCTAAGTTGATGATAAAAACTTAGCCCATTAGCCAAGTATAATAATGCACACAGGTAATCCCAGCACTTTGAAAGGCAGAGGCAGGATTTCTAGCTCCAGCGTAGCTTGGGCAATTTAGCAAGAACCTGTTCAAAATAAAATACTGGGGATGGGACATTGACCCCGTGTTGCAGCTGCAGACACCTCACCATGGTCTTCCTCACCAGGTGTCACTGGCTACCAAACCGCATCACCAGCCTCTATCAGATTGAGGAGGTGCCAAAGCTTGTGCAGCACTTTTGGGGGCAGAACCACTGCTACTGGTTGGTCATCAGGGCCATCATCATGGCTTTAGTGAAATGCACCTGGGCCCCAGGCTGAAGTGGAAACTGAGGGCCCTTTGGATTAATCGAATCACAGGTGCCTCCCAGGATGATGGCCTGAAGTGCTTGGCCTTTACTGCCAACTTAATCAAGTGCCAGGTAGGACTCTACCAGAAAGTACTTGTGAACCTGGGCATCGCTGAAGACTTTGAAATCTTTGGCTACTTTGGCCCAATGGAGATGACAGGAAAGATTTGCAGCAGCTCTAGGGCATGGCAAGGAGCCTAAGGGATATTTCTCAGTACCACTGAGGCCTGTGGTACTGTAGATCAGGAAGATACTTTTTCACGTATCATAGTGACTGAGGCAGGAGCAATGTGATGTCTGCTCAATAGTTCATAAACCTGGGTTGTGACTTAATTTACATTTCAGTACCAGGCCTGAGAGAAAAGACCCTGTATCTGGACAGTCTTTTATATATATAGACTGCACAAGAAGAGGAAGAGGGAGAAGGGGAAGGAGAGGCAGCAGCAGAAGCAGGAGCAGCAGCTAGGGGAGAAACTCAGTGTGAGGATGCTGGGTTCAATCTCCAGCAAACCAAAAATAAGCTAATAAGCAAACTGAGCCCACACAATCAGGGTGATGCAAAGACCCCAAGGCTCTGACTTGACTTAAAATGTGGTCACGAAGAGGGACACTGTGAAACACTTGCCACCAGTGCTTCCCTCCCATCACAGTCGACAGGAAGACGCATACACATACTTAGGGATGGGAACATAAGAAATCAAAAGGGCCCAATGTGACCAGGTTTGGTGGTACTTTGTGTCATCCCAGTACTCTGGGAAGCTAAGGCAGCAGGGATCACAATCTTAAGCCTCATCTGGGCAACTCAAAAAACAAAAGGCTCTAGGTTTTCTTTATGGAGTTAAGAACATTCCAAAACAGAATCTTGGCAGGGCATGGTAGCACATGCCTGTCATTCCTACACTCCTGAGGCTGAGGTGGTAGGATCATTGCAAATGTGAGGCCAGCCTAGGCTACGCACTGAGTTATATAGCAAGGCCAGCCTGAGGTATACAGCAAGACCCTGCCTCAAAAAATTAAATAAATCTGAATCTGTCAATAACTCATACACCTGAAAACCCAAGAATATGCACTGATCAGCATACTTCAAGTTAGTGAACCGTGTACCAGTAAAAATGTCTTAAAAAAAAAAAAAAATGCTAGGGGCTAGCCAGATAGCTCAGCAGATTAAAGCACCTGAGACACAGGGACCAGGGTTCCATCCCGGGCATGTTGTGCCGGTCCCCCCCCAGGGCCTGCTGAGATGGCAATTGAGACTGTGTGGTGGCACGTGCCTGTAATCCTAGTGCTTGGGAGGCTTGGGAAGCTGAAAAACACAAGGATCACTACGGGTCCAATCTAAATACAAAAAAAAAAAAAAAAAAAAAGCCAGCTGGGCATGGTAGTACACAGCTATAATCCCATCACTCCAGAGGCTGAGGCAGGATTGCTTCAAGTATGAGTCCAGCCTGGGCTACATAGTTCAAGCCCAGCCTGAACTATACAGTAAGAACCTGTCTCAAAACAAACAAACAAAAAACCATGAACTGCCAGACAATTTAATGGTGGCTAGGGAAAAGGAACAAAGGGAACAGGGAGTCATGGGTCATGGGAACAGGGGCATTAGGAGTGATGAGACTTCTGAAAAAGACAGTGTTATGAATGTACTAAAAACCATTGTACTATCCACATAAAATGGTGATTTATGAAACATTAATTATATCATTTTTGTTTTTTTCAGACAGGTTTTTACTATGTAGTCCAGCCTGGCTGGAACTCATTACACAGCCCAGGCTGGCTTTGAACTTGTGGCCATCATCCTATCTCAGCCCCCAACTGCTGGGACTGTAGGTTATAGCATATATATCTTAATTTTTGAAAAAGGTTATGAAGGTTTATTGACACAAAAAGACATCCCTCATATTTTATTGAATGAAAAAGACTTAATACAACTATGTGTACAGAAAAATCTGAGTACTATAGCCTGAGCTCTTCCCCCACCGCCTGAGTGCAGGCACCCCAAATTCAAAGCCCTGGATAAGGAACCCCAGGCTTGCACCCCTAGTATAGTTTGGGACTGGTTAGTTCCTCCTCCTACGTGGAGGGCTGCATGCAGGTACCTCTCTCCATCCACTGCCAACCCCGTACATATCCCCCACAGGCCCTGAGACCCTCTAAGGCAGGCAGGGATGAGGGGCAGATGACATCTCAGGACACTGGCCAACTGGGCCTGGGCTCTGCTCCTAGACTGCAGTGGTTCTCAGGCTTTCCAGGATATCTGCACAGGCATGTGCCACTGCCTGGACAGCACCTGCCACTCTGCTGTCACCTCCCCAGAAGGGGGCTCCCAGATCTCCTGTCAGACACTGTTATCATCCCCCCCACACCCTTGATGCATAGGAAGACAGCTGCTGTCCCACAAAGGGGCACTCTCAATAATCACTGCATGGCCAGTATGCCAGCAGTGCCTACAGCTGGCAGGCACTGTAGAGAGATTTGTTAATTTAACAAAGGCCAGGCATTGGGGTGCATGCTTGTAATCCTAGCATTATAGGCTGAAGCAGGAAGATTACCTCAAATTCAAGGCCAGCTTGGGATACACAGTGAGTTCAAGGCCAGCCTAAACTACACAGCAAGACCTTGTCTCAAAAGACACAAAACAAGAACACTTACAAAGGACCAAAGGGGCAGAAAGAAACTGTGAAGCTTCTGTGTCCACAAGAGACTGAACCCAGTCTGGAGCTGGTTCAGGAAGAGACTCTGGCCTGGAAGGCAAAGCCCACAGGCTTTCAGCTTATTAACAGCTGGGAGGAAGTCACAGGAAAACAGGACAGTGAAGGGAATGTCCCTAAGGAACAGTGCTTTCAGCCCCACTATTCAATGTTGGACACCACAGGGTCCCAGTCAACTATGGGTAACAGCTTCAGGGACAAATAGCACCACCTCCCCTTGCTGCTCCTGGGCTTGTTTGAAACCAAAACCTAAGCCTGTTGGACAAGTCACACTTCAAAACTAGGCCGCCTTCACTTTATCTCCCCAAACTGGGACGATAAATAACCAAGACCACAGTGTTGAGCAGCCCCAACGTTGGCCTTCTTCCCCCACTCTCAGCTACACCCCTAGCACTGAGCAGGTTCCTCACACGGAAGCAATAAAAGCCAAGACAGAAAGCTGTCTCAGAATTCAAAGTATCCTCCGGGCTTGGGGAGGGTATTCAGTGGGGTTCCACTGCTAGCAACGAAGGGGGGGGGTCTTTGAAATGGAGGTGGGGAGACAAACAGCAGGTGGCTGGCTGTCTAGGCTAGGGAGAAAGCTGGCAACTCTTTGTTCCACCCTGCCAGTTTTCCCAAGCAAAGACCAGCCACTTTCCAATGTGGGGCAAGGGGCCTCTGAAAGCCTCGGACTACCGGCGACATAAACGCAAAGGCTTGTATTTACGGGATTCCAACAGCCGTCATCTCTAGTCTCTAGCCTAGAGGGAGGCGACGAACGAGGGGTCAGAGCCGCTGAAACGTACCCAAGAGTGAGGCGTCCATTAAAAATACACCCCCGGAGCTGGGGAGATAGCTCAGTAGAATAAGCACTTGCCCGGCAAGCGCAGGGTCCCGAGTTCAATCCCAGTTCCCAGAAAAAAAAAACAAAAACAAAACAAAAAAACCGCCCCAGAGAGCTCATTCCCACAAATTGGATGTGTCCAGGTGTTTACATTTTAAGTCCACGCTCTAGCGTCCCCAGCAGCGAACCTTGCTCCCACCAAGCGCCGGCTTGACCACCCGCCGTGGGCACCGCCACAGCCCGCTAAGTTCCCCACTGGCACATCAAAGGGAGAGCCCAGCCCCCACCCCTGCCTCCCAGCAGCGTCTGTTCGCAGCCTAGCGCCCCTCGCCCAGCCCGCTCCGGGACAAAGACCTCCGCAGCAGCCAGCCCAAGACTTGTGGACTCGTGCCATGCGTGGCGCACGCGCACTGGGCCGCCGCGCGCCGAGCAGGCACGCACCACGCACGCTCGCACGCACGACGCACGGCCCAGGCCGCAGCACAGGGCAGGGGCGCCCCGGCCACCGCAGAGGCCGCTGGGAGGTACCCGTTGGGGCCCTGCGCGGCCGGCGCGCTCATTCACCTATAGTAAAAGACATCCCTGTGGCCGGCCGACAGCCCCGACCTTCTGGGCACTTCTTCCCTCTCCCAGCCCTGCGGGAGCGCCGGGCACTCCCACCTCTTCCGCTCCATCGCGCCCGGCTCCTCGGCCCGAGTCCGGGCCCGCCGCCGCCGCTGCGACCCCCGCTTGCCGCCGCCGCTTCAGCTGCCTCCGCCACCGCCACTTACCGCGGCTGTTCCGGCCCTTGGACCCCCGCCCTCCGCCCCCAGCCGGGCGCGCGCCGGCTTTGTCGCCCTCTCGGCCCCCTCCCCGCGCTTGCCAGCCCCCGCTTGGGGGGCCGCTCCGCCCACCCGCCCGCGCGGGGGCCCATCTGCGCAGCCGCGGCGCCAGCCCCGCCCCCGCCTGCCTACAGATCCAGTCCTAGTGGCGGGAACGCCAATCAACGCGTGCCAAAGGGGCGGGGCCCTCGGCCTGGGGCGCGCGTGCGCTATGGAACTTCAGTGCTGTCCGAGCTTCACGCGCTGTTCAGCCCGGGCCGGGTTCCTCTGGCCCGTGCTTCTTATTCCTCCTTCACAGTGCACTCAGCTAAGCAGCTGCGACGGCGCTCCTAGCCTCTTGCCAGGTCTCCTCCCGCCGGCTGGGGGTTCCCTCGGAGACCGTGGTACTTGCCGCTAGTACGCCTGGAGTTGAGTCTTTGCGCCACATGCCAGTCTGGTCCTTCTTCCACAGGGCCCTCAGGTCCCAGTCCAGTGCCGAAACCTCTGTTGCCCGGTCCTCTGGGATCCCAGCCCCCTGGGCTCCGAAATTCCCAGCTGTGACCATCGCACACCTGCCCAAAATCCCACCCAACACATTTTTATTTTAATTACGACCCCGAAGCTCTAACCAGGCGATTGCGCATGTTAGGCAAGCACTGTGCTGATAGGTAAGAATCCTGGAATCCAGCTGTGCGGGCGTGGCTTGCGCCTGTCATCCCGGCGGGCTGTGAGGTTGAAGCAGGATTACCAAATTCGAGCCTAGAGTGGGCAATTTAGCGAAAGCTTGCTTCAAAAATTTAAAAATATAAAAAAGTCTGGGAATGTACCTCAGTGTGAATGCCTTGGGTTTAATCCTCAATACAAAAGGGGGTGGGAGGAAAAACAACAACCAACTCAGATTGCCTTCTTTTGCTGCAGATTCTCCAACCTCCAATTAGGGTTGGTGTTCTTTTTTTCTTTGTCTTTTTTTGGAATCTCCCTATGCAGTTCAGGATGCCCTCGAACTCACTTTGTAGCCCAGGTTGACCTGGAACTCCCATCTATCCTCAAGCCTCAGCCTCCAGAGTGCAGGACTTACACGCGTATGCCACACTTCACATGTCTTTTGGGGGGTATGTGGGTGGGGGGTACCGAGACGGCTTGTCTTTTAATCTTGAGACAAGTCTTTACTAAGTTGTCTCAATAACTAAGCTGTCCAAGCTGGACCCTTTAACTTGAGATCCTCCTGCCTCAGGGTCCCAGGGTATTGGGATAATAGGCAGGCATGCTCCACTATGTTGGTGGTTCCCAAGTTTAAGGCGCCCTGCGCCAACATTGGGCACCCTCTAACGGGCAAAAGACGAAATTACAACACATTTGGTTTGCAGATCTTAATTGGTTTTTACTAGCAGTTTTAGAACTGGGCACCACCTCCTTCTGTAAGATAGAGAGTGTTCCTTAGGTTGAGCAGAGAATCTCGCTTATACACAGAAGAAAGTTCAAGAAAACAGAAACAATGGTCATTTCAAAGTTCCTTTTTCCCATACTGGTTAGAGCAGAGGGGATTTCCCGGTTCAGCCAGCTAAAACCGGCTCCTTTGGTGATTCAGCTGTTATCTCTCCTTCTCCAGCCTTCTTGGAAAATCAGATAAACTTGGCTGCACAGCATGGTGCCCTGGAACTGTTAGCCTGAGTCCATATTGTTCTGGTTTGTGGGCCTGGTGCTGGAGTGCAGTCTAAACCAGTGGCCATCCGTATATCTTATTCAGCCCTAATCCGAATAAGCACCTGTCTCAAAGCCCTTAATCCTAACTGCAAAGCCCTTTGGGCCAAAGAGGGTGTGGCATCCACTGGTTCTGAGTACCATTTGAGGGCCACTGTTCTGCTGCCCCCAACCACTGAACACCTTAAGCTGGAAGTGGATAGGCCGGGGCAGGAAACTTGGACAGGTGAATGACAGGCAGGGGATGGGGGAAGACACTTACCCAGGGCATTGCTACTTTGGGCAGGTGAGTTCTTTTCTCTGCCTAAGGGGAAGAAGGGGAATCTGTGGGCCCCTCAGGCTGTCTCTGGAGATGCTCAGTAGCTGGTCAGAGGCCCAGAGGCCCAGGGCAAAATGCCAAGTGGGGTGAGCCGAATGGGGCCAAGTGGGGCCAGCACCGGTGAGGGAGAACACAGCATCTGTGTTGTGGACCCACAGGCCAGGAAGGGGCAGCACAGACTCAGTGCTGAAATTTGGCAAGATGAGCAGTGAATCCACACACCTGCTGCCTGAAAGAGAAATGTGTGTGTGTGTGTGTGTGTGAGAGAGAGAGAGAGAGAGACTGGAGAATAAACCTAAGGCTTTTACTCAACTCAGTTGGGCTTGAATTTGTGATCCTCCTGCCTCTCCTCCCTGAGTATTGGATGACAGGCATGCACAATCACACCTGGCTGTTATGTGACTTTCACATTAATTCTAAAGGTGATGGAGGAATGCCTCAGTTAGGAACAGGTGCCCACTGGAAGGGGCTCCTAATGGCCAAATAGGACAATTTGAGCAACAGAACAGAAGGGATGGTTTATACCTTACAGAACAGTTTATCAGTTACTGAGTGGAATACTGGCAGGGAAGAGACAGCCCTGGCTGCACAGGCTGTGGCTAAAGAGAGGGATCCTTGACCACGCCATCTGCTAGGCTCAGTAGCTCCCCTGGTTCTTGTGGAGTTTGGAGGCCACACAGCAAGCTGCTTACTGGGTAGGACTCTAGGTGCAGGAATTGGCAGCAAGGACCTTCCTGCTGGAAGCTGTGGGTCCTGCACAGTAGCGGCTCAGTTGTGGGATTTGTCACTGCAGTTCAGGGGCGTTAAGCACGCGCCATGGTCTGCGTCATCCACCCCCAGGACCTTCTATGCCCACGCTGACCTGTCCCCTCCCCAGCCCAGCACTGCTCTTCTCCTTCTGTGTGGCTCTGATCACGCTGGGCCATCCTGGAGTGGGACCTGCATGTGTGTGCCTGGCTCAGCTCCCTGGGCAGCATGGGCTCAAGGGCCGTCCTGCTGTGGTAGGTGTCAGAATGCCCTGCCTTTATCTAGCTGAGTATTCCACTGTATGGATGGACTCTACTTATCCACTCAATACACACTTGGGTTGCTCCTACTTTGGGGCTGCTGTAACACATGCAGCACACACAGATGGACAAATACCTTGAGATCATGTGCTTTGGGCCTATAGGGCACTTTCAGCAACACTGCTAGGCCACTGTTTAACATTCCCACCAGCCGTGCACAAGGGGTCCTATTCCTGTGTCCTCACCAGCACTTGTCAGTGTTCTAAAGTAAACAACCTGATGCGTATGAGGTGTTGGATCATAAAGGTGGACCCTGAAAAGCAACCTCCAGATCTGGGTATGGTGACCCATAAGTGCAATCCACATTCTGAGAGGCTGCAGCAGGATGATCACTGTGAGTTCATGGCTAGCCTGAGCTACAGAGCAAGATCCTAAAGAAACAAAATCAAAGCTGGGTGTGGTGGTATGGCACTCTGGGAGGCGGAGGCCAAAGGATTACAGGTTCAGACCCAGCCTGAGCAATTGAGACTTAGAAAGAGACCGCTGTCTTTTCTTTTTTTTAATTTGGGGGTACAGATCAGTGCAAGGGCTCTAGGTTCAATCCTCAATACCACCAAAAACCCTCCAATGGGCCAGGCATGTACAGCACTCAGTGGTGAGCTCCTGGCTAGCCCAGGGCTCCACTACCAACACTTCAAAATATCTAAGGCTGTGTGTGCTTTAGTGAGTGGCACTTGCAAGAGGCCCTGTGTTACATCCCCAACTCTGGGGGGAGGGGGGATCCCAGCTATCCTCCCTTTGAGTGTGACCTGAACTTAGATAGGAAGGAAATGACATCATAAGATTTCTGAGCTTGGGTCATAAAACTACCATAGCTTTGTCCCTCAGTGGGGAAGTCAGCGCCTCCCTGAGGCTCAGGCTGTTTCTACAGCCACAGGGGACAGACTCCTGCAGCCCAGACCAAGCAGTACCTGTCCTCTCCTCATAACCTCAGGAGAGACCTGCAGCTGAAACCGCCCAGCTGCTTCCCTCCCAATCCCTGACCCACAGAAACTGGGAGACAATGAACATTTTCCCTGCTCTACCATTGCAGATGCAGGCCAGCTGTTACTCAGCAGTCAGTGAGCACCCTGTGTAGCTCTCCTCCACTCATTCTGCATATGTGGCACTGTGCATGCGACCCAGGCTCTTTGTACTGAGCTACCTCCGCAGCTCTCTTTTACAGAGTCTTGCTAATTTGCCCAGGCTGCGGTAGAACTTTCGATCCCCCTGCTTCAGCCTCCCAGAGTGCTAGGATGACAGGTGTGTGCCACACTACACCTGGCTGATCCGTTAGTATCTTACACTTGCAACTTGTACCAGTCACTAGAAAACTCTCCTGGTTTGCAAAGTTGTGGAGCTGGAGGGAGCCCTGGATCACTCGAGTCCTGGTGGCAGTAGTCAAGAGCACTGAGGCAATGTCACAATCAAGGTCCAGGCAGGGGAGGTTTGACAGTGAAGTTTAATGCTCGGAGCATTACAATATCAAGTGCTGAGCAGCAGAGACACTCCCAGGCTGTGCCGTGGGCTTCCTTCGTGTCTGTCCTTAGGGCTCTCTGCACGCAGTGGACGCTGTGCTGGGAGGATCTGGCACCGCTGGACGCCTGGGGAAGGGACAAGGCAGGGTGAGCAGAGGGTCCTTCCACAAGTGGCCAGGGACTCCATCCATATGGAAGCACACTGGCTGTGGGGCGCAGGGGTGGAGGAGGTGGATGCCCAGGAGTCAGAATATAGCCCAGTCTCCAACGAAGGGTACAGGGGCTGAGACCCCTGTCTATGACATGGGGGTGGAAGTGGTGCCCACTCAGGGCTGCCATGTGTGCAGTCATGATACAGGCTGAGTGGGCAGCACAGCCACATGTAGTAGAGGAACACAGCTGAGCTGAGGTGTCACCTAATGCCCAGCAGGCGTGGGTCAGCTCAACCTACCTGTGAAATGGTCATCCTGGTCCTGCCTGACAGGGCTGAAAGCACAGCTTAGCCTCTAGAACACACAGGCCACCTAGCTCGCACCCCACTCCTCCACCTAGCTCTCTGGCAACAGCAGGAGATGTACCACCTGCTCATTCCCTGGGATGGAATCTAGGACTTCACACATGCTGCACAAGCCATCACCACTAAAATACAACCACAGCGCTTTTTTTTTCCCCCTCTAAATAAAGCAGGACTTGAGCTAGGCTCCAACTTGGGATCTTTCTGCCTCAGCCTCCTGAGGAACTAGGATGCCAGGTATGCACTATGGTGCCGGCTCTGAGCTCGGCCTCTGTGCAGAACCCTCAGGGTGAGCCTCCCTGGTATCTTGTAGACCCTTGTTCTTCTCTCTCTAGCTACAACCACTGGGCCACTAATGCCACCAGGCTGGGCCAAGGGGCTTTCAGCCAGGTCGAGACTTACCGCAGGGGTCTGAAAGGGGTAGCTAATCATCCTTCTTAAACTTGCCGCTGATGTATGGTACCCAGTCCAGGATCAGCCGCCAGTCAGTGGCCCACACCAGCCCCACAGCACCCACAGCACCCCACATGGTGGCTGTCGGGGTCCTAGAAGAAGAGCAAGAGTCAAGCCCTGATCAGGATCTTCTGCTGTCCTCACCTCAGAGGCCTGGCCCCTGCGCAATGCCAAGGGACGTACAGGACAAAAACAGGGCTGGTGGAGACTGGCGATGTAGCTCAGCAGCACAGTGCCTCCCTGGGAAGCAGGAAGTGCTGAGTTCAGTTCCTGGTACCAAAAAGAAGAAAAAGTAACAGGGCTGGTGACCCCTCAAGCTGCCAGTTTCAGGAAGCTTTGGGCAAATAGGTCACTGGATCCTGCCACCCTGATCTTTCTTGGGGGGGTTCTGCTTAAGAACTGGGGATGGAAAAAAAACAAAACAAAACTGGGGATGGAACCCACTAAATAATTGGCCTGTATTTCCCTGCGGTCTGCTTGCCCCTCCCCGACTTACTGTCACCAGGGAATTCCTGACCCAAAGGCCACCAACCAGACTGCTGGCCAGCCATAACTGCCCTTCCAGGATAAGCCCTGGATTCTTAGAACACTATGTGAACAGTAGGTGACCCTGAGGTCACTCACTTCCATACCAACTACAAGGAGGGTCCCATCAATCTGATCTTGGCTCCTATGTCAGAACCGCTTTCATCCACCTTGTCTGTTTTTCATCCACCTTGTTAAAGATAATATGATGCCAGGGGTGGTGGCACACATCTGTCCTCCCAGCACTAGGGAGGCTGAGGCAGGAGGACTGCCAAGAGTTTGAGGCCAGGCTGTGCTGTACAATGCGTTCAATGTCAGCCTGGCCTACACTGCAAGGCCCTATCTCAAAAGACAAAATTTAAAAAGCCCTTGAGTGGCTGGGTGTGGTGGCACATGCCTGTAATCCCAGCACTCAAGAGGCTGAAGCAGGAGGACCATTGAGATCTTGAGACCAGCCTGGGCTACAAAGTGAGCTCAAGGCCAACCTGACCTGTATAGGGAGACCCTGTCTCAAAAAAAAAAAAAAAAAAAAAAAAAAATCAACCAGGTATAGTGGCACACACTTGTAATCCCAGTACGCATGGAGGCTGAGGCAGAATTGTATTTTTTTTTTTTTTCCTCCCGGTACCAGGGATTGAACTCAGGACCTCGCACTTGCCAGGCAAGCACTTATTCTATTGAGCCATCTCCCCGGCCCAAGGACTTTATGTTCTATGTCAGCCTGAACTCTGCAAGACCTTCTCTCAAAGAAAACAAAAAAGGGCGCAAGGGGCCAGGGAGAAGGCTCTGTAGCTTGCCTGGCAAGCACAAGGCCCTGAGTTCAATCGCCGGTACAGGAAAAAAAAAAAAAAAAAGGAGATACAAGCTATCGCTTTTCGGCCTTTTGGCTAAGATCAAGTGAAAAAGGGTTCAAGCTGGGGTCGAGCTCAGAGTTTCGGGGACCCTAAGGGCCCGGGCCGTCTAGGATTTCCATCCAGATGGGCACTGCCGGGTTCTCCAGGTAGAGATGAGGCTCATGGGGCTGAGGCACTGGCCGAGGAGGCTGGATCTAGCCGCGAGTCCGCTAGCACCGGCGCTGGAACGGAGCGTCGGCCAGTACGAGCTTGTTTCCCCCTCCGTCACCGGGCACAGTAGGGGACCTTGGACCGGCGGTCGAAACAGCGGGACTGGGACTGGGGCTGGGACTGCGGGCGGCTTCCTCACCAGTTCTTAGCTAGCTCCCGGTAGCGCGGGCCCAGGAACCTGGTCAACATCGTAGCTCTGTCAGGGAACTAGGTCACCCTGGCACGCCGGCCGCACTGCGCATGTGTACAAAGGACCCTGCGCGCGCAGATCCGGAAGTCATTTACAGTCACTTCCGGGGACGATAGGAAAACGTTAGTAGTTACGTCGTTGGTGGGCGGATATTCCGGACACGTGTCGCGTAGGGTTGTGGCTCTACGTGTCAGAGTGCCACCTGCCTGCGCAGCCGCCTGTGGCTAACTCAGGATGTCCCAGAAGAACTGAGCGGTGAATTTGTACAGGAGTCATTTCCATCCAGTGTACCCCCTTCAGACAGCCCTCCGGGGTTGTTTAGCCCCTAGGAACCTAGACAGTCTGCACGGAAAAGTCGCAGCCTGGCTGGGTGCGGTGCCGGCCGCGTGTGATCCCAGCACTTAATGCGATTTACTTTGAAGGAAGAGAACTGAGGGCTGATGGTTAAAGGACTTGTCCAGAATCAGAAGGGGAAGGCTGGGATTTGAGCCTACTTGTGGGTGGTGGCGTCGGGGTTTGTCACAGAGTCGCTGCGGAATTCTGGCCAAATGGAGTGTCCCAGTCTTTTTTTTTTTTTTTAGGCGGAACCGGGGATTGAACTCAAGCCCTTGCACTTGCCAGGCAAGCACTTATTCCACTGAGCTATCTCCCCTGCAGTCTGCTCATTTTGAACGTTTGGTCGGAAATTTGCACATTTTCCTAAGTGTGAGCCGGCGATTCCTCCAGGCGGCAGCAGAGGGAGTCAGGTCTCACGGGAGCCCCGCGCCGGACAGGTACCCGGGAATTGCAGCTTCCTTCTGCAGCGCTGCTGAGCGTGCCTTCCTCCTCCAGCCCAGGCCTCCTCCAACCCCCACAGCCTGTCAGGTAGCTTAGTACATAAACCTCCAGCGCCCAGCCCCAACTCACGCACAGCAGGTGTGGGATGAAAGAATAGTAATGAGGGGCTGGGGACTTAGTTCAGTGGCGCAGCACCTGCCTGGCAAGCATGAGGTCCTGAGTTTGATTCCCAGTACCCCCACCCCCAAAAGAGAAAATAGCCCTAAACATGGACGCAGATATTTAAACCACAGAAAGAAGAGGGACGAGCTCCCAGACGGCCAGCAGCCAGTGTACCAATGTGCCTTTTCATTCTATCCAGTGTACCTTCCTCAGGTAGCCCTCTTGAGTTGATTAGCTGCCTAGGCACCTAGACAGTCTGCATAGAAAAGTCACAGCCTGGCTGGGTGTAGTGGCAAGCGCCTGTCATCTCCGTACTCAGACTGAGGCAGGAAGGTCATAAATAAGAGTCCAGCCTGAGCAACTTAGCAAGACCTTGTCTCAGAATTTACAAGTCACATGTGGTGGCACATGCCTGTCATCTCAGCACTCCAGAGGCTGAGACAGGAGGATTGCTGTGAGGCCAGTCTGGGCTACAAGGTAAGTACAAGGCCAGTTTGAACTGCACAGCAAAACCATGTCTCAAAAATAAATAAAAATACATAAAATTAAAAATTAACGTTTGGGATGTAGCTCAGTGTAAAGGGCCTGAATTCAATCCCCAACATGGGGATGGAGGATAAAAGGATGGGAAGTGGGGTCATTATCTAGAGGACTGGGCCAGCATCACAAGTAGTGGTAAGGCACAGCCCCGTGGGTTTGCCTGTTCAGCCCTGAACAGCTCCCTCTGCAGTGCTCCAGGGCCTACTGGGTCCACCTGCCTGGTCCCTGGCCAAGGCCCAAATGTAGAGAAGGCAGTGTGGATACCAGGGCTGATGGTTGCTACTAGGCTGGATGGTATCCCTAGATCTTTCCAGATGTTCTGAAGTTTTAGCACTTTGGGGTCAGTCCATTGGTGGAAACTTTAAAAGTAGGCTATAGAAGCTGTCACAGAGACTGGAGAAGGGAAAGAAAAAGTCATCTGGAGAAAAGAGATGGGGACAGGCTGTGAGTGCTGCAGGCCCCAGCTGGCCCCATCAGCTCCTGAAGCCTCCCAACCTTGTTGATTCCACTTTTTGAAATGCTGGTGGGTATGCCACTATGCCCAGCAACGCTGTATCTTTTTTTTTTTTTCCAGTATCATTTTTTCTACTTGCAAACTACTTTCTGCCAATCATGTCCTATCCTCTATGTGGCTGAGTCACTGAGGAAAGAAAAGCTGGGCTCCAACTTTCAAAGCTCCTGCCTCAACCCAAGTACTGGAATGACAGGTGTGTGCCACCAGTTTTGGTCACCAGCATCACTTTAGACATGACAGAGTTAAGCAAGAACAGGGTACACTTTTTTTTTTTTTTAATGTATTTTAGTACTGGGCCTACAGGGTCTCACTAAACAGATTAGACTCAGTGATTATTCTTGTTTTCAGTGTCCCAAGCACTGGGATTATAGGCCCGCACCACCACACCCAGTCTCAGTAGCTCTCAGTGTGCCCCGCGGGCGGAGCTGGCACAGCACCCAGCTGCTATGCTCTGCCTAAGAAGGTGATGTAGTCCACTATCTGTCTCTGGGCCGAGGAGATAGCTCAGTAGAGTAAGCGCTTGCCTGGCAAGCACAGAGTCCTGAGTTCAATCCCCAGTTCTGCAAAATAAATAAAAATAATTTTTTTTTTTTTTTTTCGGAACTGAGGATTGAACTCAGGCCCTTGCGCTTGCTAGGCAAGCGCTTATTCTACTGCATCATCTCCCCAGCCCGATACACTGTTCTTGAGGGTCCCATCTCCTCCCTCTTGACAGCAGGGCACCATGGGTCTTAAATGGCCAGTAAGGTCTTGCACCCGAGTGGGCAGCTGTGATTTCTTCACAATGGAGGCCCCAGGTCCTGGCAGAGCAAGAGACAGGTCTCCAATAGCCCTGCGGCCACCCAGCTCACCAGAGGCCTGGAGGAGTCATGAGCAAACTGCTTGAGATTGTGGAGCTAATGGCCTCAGTGATGGGGAGCCATGGGAGGCTTCAGACACAAAGTGACATACCCAGATTCAGGCAGCGAGGGCTAGTGATGGGGGCAAGGAACCCAAGAGGCCAGCAACAGTGCAGTGACAATTGAGAGCTCTGTAGCCCTGGAACTGAGGACCGAACACCGCTGGCAACTCCACTATGCTCTCAGTATCTCACCCCCACACAGCATCCCAGGAGCTGCCAGTCTCCCCATCACCTTCTGCAGGGTTGTTTCCACTGCTAAGAGTTTTGGACACTGGACTCCAGAACAATAGCCACACTTATCAGTGAGGCTCCTCCTGCCTCAGCCTCCAGAGCAGCCCAATTTTTAGTTCTGCAGGAGGATGTCTGTGGTGAGCTGAGACGTGCAGCCTGCTGCCCTTGAGGATAAGAACTGTGCTGTGCCTCCTCCCCATCCCCAGAATAGAGGTTGATGGGTTCTGGCCATCAGTTAGCACCAGCATGGTTGTCAATGTAGGGTCAGATCAGATGGGGAAGCGTTCTGTGCCACTTACCTACATCCCCAGCTTGTGCTAGTGTCACACCGAAGTAGGAACACAGGACGTGGGCTCAGTGTCCTGGGGAGAGGTTGACCAGGTGGGACAGGTGCTTTGGAGAACCCTTAGGGGTTACCTTTCCTCCCTCGTATGAGGCTCAGAACCTTTGACAAGGGTACCTTGTTCCTGAGAAAGGGAAGAGGAACCCCACTAGGGCAAGTCCCACCCATCACTGCACACAATCGAGTAAGGCAAAGCTTGGCCATCTTAGAACATGCAAGAGGGGGGATGCGGCGGTGAGACTGCACAGCGCCTGGGGTGCCAAGCGTCGGGTAGGGGGACCTGAGGTCGACATTGGGTCTTTTTAACACTTTTAATAATCTGGTTGATCATGAAATGCACCGCTCACTTCTAGAAACAGCAAGAGACACGAGACTTTCATACAAAAAAGTTTGTTGCTTATAAAACATATGCAAAAGAAAGCTTAAAAAAAAA